TATATATATATATATATATATATATATATGGATACATTAAAAACTCCATCATTAGCAGTATTTTTGATTTTAAATAATTTTTAATTATTCAAATTCCTATTTAATTACAGGGTGAAATAATTTGTTTTTTATTTGGTCCTCAATATCGAAATGTATTAACACGAATAACCTTTGCCATTCCACGCTTATTTCATCTTTTTTCACCAACTTGGTTAACTATTCGAAATGAAATTATTGCTAATATCAAAGTTCGTGTTTATTATCCCAAAAAACGTCATAGTAATGCTATGATATTATATCTGCATGGTGGTGGTTGGGCAACACTAAAACCTGGTAATTAATTATAATTAATAGTATCAATTAATTAAATGATATAATAATTGATTAATGATAATTTTTCATTGCTTTTCTTTTCAATTTATTTTATATTTAAAAAAAAAAACAAAAAGAGAAAGAGAAAGAGAAAGTGCATAAATTTTTTTGAAAATATCAAAATTTAAACTATTAAAACATACAAATTACAAACAAAATAATAATATTTTCAGTTGATTATGATGATTTAATGTATTATTTTATAAAACGCCTCGGGATACTTATTATTTCGGTTGATTATCGTCGATCACCAGAATATCTTTATCCGATTCCCATTAATGATTGTGAAGCAGTCTATCGAGAGTTAGTTACTATAGATTATAAAAGATATGGTATCGATCCAACACAAATCATTGTGATGGGTGATAGTGCTGGTGGTAATATGGCTGCAGTTTTAGCGCAACGACAATTACGGGCAAACTTTCAGAAGCCAAAGGTTAAGAATTCATTGTTTAATTACTTTAAAACAAATCATATAAGTAAGTAAGTCTATTATGTATAATTTCTGAATGTCAAAGGTAAATAAATAAGTTTAAACCTAGAAATTCTACAAATTTGGCTTAATTTCTTCTGCTTAAATATTCAAAAAATTTGCTATTCAAATCCATATTTGTTGTCACTTTTAGCATTCGAAATATCGTTTTATTTTATTAAATTTATTTCTAAAATTTGTGCAACTTTCAAACAATGCTATCATTTTCATCGGGAAATATCAAAAGTAAAATCTTCCAGTCTTCCCGTTTCATTCTCGAAATTCTTTTCTACCAATTATAATTCCATTATTTATTCAGTCACAAATTCTGATTTATCCAGTAATACATCCATTGGATTTTCAATCACCATCTTACCAGCAATATCATAAATTCTTTCCTGGTTGCTCAATGCTTAATCCACGAATGATGGCGCAGTGGTATTTACTTTATTTAGGAATTCCTGTCATTCATAAGAATGTACAAAATCTTCTTCAGAATAAGCATATTCGAAGGTATATATTTGTGCAATAAAAACAAATTTAGTCAAATAATTTAAATAATTTATTAATTTTAAAGAAAAAGTTAAAAAATGAAAAAATACCGCGCGATGATACTTACATTAATTGATGATAAGAATTTTAGTAATGTTGGAAGAAAAAAAAACTTACATTACTGAGTAATATTAAAAAAAAAAAAGAATACAGGTAATTATATCTTCATAAATGGATTAATTAATTTGTAGGGAAGGTAAACAAGCTGATAAATTACGGTCCATTATTGGACATGATTTATTACCAATTAGTTTCATTAATGAAACAGATGAAAAATTTGTGGTCGAATCAGAGGATGAATATGTTGGTTATAATCTTTGAATTTAAACATTTTAACATTTCTGATATTTTCCGCTAATGACATATCTCTTTTTTCAAAAAAAATAAATAAATAAATAAATTATGACTTTTTTAAAATTATTTTTCAAGAAATGTCCACAAATTTATAAAATAAAGGAACTGAGAAATATTAAAATAATATAAATTGTATTTTTAAAATGATTAATTATTCATGTGTTTTTGTGTATTTTCTCTTTTTTTTCCTTCTGAATTAACTACTTTAATTACTGTAACATTAATTTCATCGAGTAAATTTTAGCCAAAATAATAATCAAATCAAAATTTCTGCAATGATAAATTGCTGAAATTTAGACATAGAATAATGATTTTGAAAATTTATTAAAAATTTAAACTCTATATATTATAATTTTATTTTATTATATAAAATAATCTTGTATTGAATTTACAATATTTTTTTTCATTTTTCACTTCCAATTTTAATTATAAAATTTAATTTTAGCTATGTAATATATTATCCAAGTATATTTATGATCCTGATCTTGCACCTATTATGGGTACGAATTTGGAAAATCTAAGTGATGCAATGATAATTACGGTAGGATATGATATCCTTCGTGATGAGGGCGCATTATACGTACGATTATTGAAATCTTTCAATATTTCAGTTTGCTGGAAACATTATCATAACTCTTATCATGGTATTTTAATTATGCCTTGTAGTAAACAAAAAATGAAAATTTTGCATGATATTGAAAATTTTATCAAATTACAATTGCAAGAAAATTGCTAAAAGAAAAAAAGGAAGGAAAATTTTATTCTTTTTTAATAAAATTTGACAAATAATTATTTTATTTGAAATAAAAAACATTTTTAAATAAAAAATTAAATAATGAAATGAATAATTTTTAGTGAAAAATTCATTAAAAGGATTATGCAAAAACAATTAATTAAAACAAGCATTCCTTTTTTTTAAAACTTTTGATTTATTTTATTTCTATGAAACAAGGGTTCTTATGGTTTTATTTTTCCTTCATTTAACATTGTCATCTGTCTTTTGAAAAATGTCATCAATTTTTTGGCAATGTTTTTTTTTAATGTAATTAAAATTGATTTAAAAATGGATCGAATTAATTATCTATCCAATAAATGTCATTGGCAAAGAATTTTGTTAAAAAATGGAATTCGAAAAGAAAAAAAGGAAAAATTGAACTGTTTGTTGATTATTTTGTGATAATAGGAATAATATTCGTTTCTCTTATTCCATTTTTTTGAATCGTTAAAAATTATTTGCAAATATTTAAATGGCGAATTTTGTATACTGTAACAAATACGTGTTTCCTTTTTATTATCATTTCATTTTATTTTTATTCATATTGTAATTTTTTTTCGGACTAATAAATATAACATCTGTAAATGGACGAATGCTTTTACAGTAATCCTATCTAATTGTAATTAGGTAAGTTAGTAAATTCATTGAAATATGTTGAAGGAGATGAAGGATTTGTAAAGTGACATTTTGATAATTAAAATAACTGGTAAAAGCTTAAATTAGAAATCGAGAAAAAGAGAAAATGGGAGAGAGAGAGAGGAGGAGAGAGAGA